GTGGTGTGACATGGGGGATAAGGGACTCGAATCAGGTATCGAATTATCATAGTTTGTGTAATTCTGATCTCAAAAATATTGACTTTCCTATAGAACTTAGTAGTTGTGCTGACAAAATATGTAAAAACAAAGATCATACTATATTGTTAAATAATTTGTATAATGACATTGTAAATATATTATCTAAAGCAGCGAAAAATAGCTGCCAGTCACGTAGAAAGAAAAAACATAAATATGTCACTGGGTGGAATAAACATGTTAAGGCCGCTCACAGGCGGGCTCGACTTTGTTTTCAAAAGTGGGTAGCTTGCGGTAGGCCTATTTCTGGTAATATATTTCAAAATATGACTGATTCTAGAAAAATGATTAAAAATAAGTTAAAATATTGTCAAAATAATGCTACACAAATTAAAATGGATATAATTGCGGAAAATCACGCTAATAAAGATTTCACCAGTTTTTGGAAAAACACAAATAAGTTAAACCCGAGGTCGAGTCTCCCTGTGAATGTGGGTGGTTCATGTGAGCCCCGCCATATTGCTTGCGTTTTCCAACAGTCCTTTAGGGTGGTCTCACCGCTCGGGGGCGTGTCTCAGATGCTCGACGACGAGGTTTTTTCAGGGGATTTAACGGTTAGATTCTCAAGTAAAGATGTTGTTAATGTCATTGCAAAAATGGAGAGAGGTAAATCGCCTGGATACGATGGCCTGAGTATTGAGCACTTGAGACATGCAGGTGTACACTTACCAAGAGTACTTTCTATGCTTTTTAATTTGTGTATAAGTCATAGCTACTTACCTGAAAATTTAATGCGCACAGTGGTTGTGCCTATTGTGAAAAATAAGTCCGGTGATCACGCGAATGTTTCCAATTACAGGCCTATCTCGTTGGCAACAATAGTGGCTAAGGTACTGGACAGTCTGCTTGATCAACAACTAGCAAAGCACGTTAACTTGCATGATGCTCAGTTTGGCTTTATGTAGGCCCGGCCTGTCTACAGAGAGTGCTATTTTCTGTCTTAAGCAGACTGTTCAGTATTACACTGCTCGTAAAACACCTGTGTATGCCTGTTACCTGGATTTATCAAAAGCTTTCGATCTTGTAAATTATGACAAATTATGGCAGAAGCTCCGAAATGAAACAAGCGTGCCACATGAGGTAACTTCACTGTTTAAGTATTGGTACAGTAATCAGCAGAATACTGTAAGGTGGGGAAGCGCAATGTCGGATGTGTATTTGTTGGAGTGCGGTGTGCGGCAGGGAGGGCTGAGCTCGCCCCGCCTTTTCAACCTTTATATAAACCGGCTGATCGGTGAGCTCAGTGGTACCAATGTTGGTTGTTCGGTAGACGGGATTAGTATTAACAATGTAAGTTATGCCGATGACACGGTGCTACTGTCTCCATCGATTGCGGCCCTAAGAAAACTCCTGCGTATCTGTGAGGAATATGCAGATACCCATGGGCTCAGATACAATGTTAATAAGAGCGAACTGATGATTTTCAAGGCTGGTGCCAAAACCTACTCATCTGTACCTCAAGTGACGCACTATGGTTCACCACTGAACTTGGTGAAGCAGTTTAAGTATCTGGGCCACTGGGTGACTGATGACCTATGCGACAATGTTGATGTTGAGAGGGAGCGCAGGGCGCTGTCAGTTCGGTGTAACATGTTGGCCCGCAGGTTTGCACGCTGTACTGTACCAGTGAAGGTGACACTGTTTAAAGCTTACTGTCAATCATTTTACACGTGCAGCCTGTGGTTGAACTTCACGCAGCGGGCGTGCGGCGCACTGCGCGTCCAATACAATAATGCATTCAGGATTCTGTTAGGTTTGCCCCGATTTTGTAGTGCATCTACCATGTTCGCTGAGGCGCATGCAGACGATTTCTATGCCATTGTCCGAAAAAGAAGTGCATCCTTATTAAGCCGTCTGAGAGGGTGTGGTAACGGCATCCTGAATGTGTTGGTCGAGCGGTGGGATTCCCCTTTATTGAGGAGGTGGATGCATTTGCACGTCAGTGCATCCCCTCTTTCTTTTATATAGTGTGACATTTTATAATTTTTATTTTTAATTTTTATTTTTATTTATTATTATTATTGTTGTTTTTATTTATTATTATTTATTTTTGTTCTAATTTAATTTAATTTAATTTTAATATGACATGTAAAATATGGATGTAAAATGGTCCGAAATAAATAAATGAATATGAATATGAATATGAATTAATAGCTTGCGCAGACGGGGGACTTTTGTCCGCCGAAATAGATCACTTACAGCTGCATCGCGTAACGCACACGACACGGTTTAAAAATACCGCGGATACAAAGTCCCCTGCACCACCGCGGACAAAAGTACTCTCGTTGGACAGTCTTCGAAATAAATGGAACATACGAGTATTATGTGAGAAAAGGCGGCAACTTAATACGGGGAACTTTAACTTTGTGAGTCTGCATTGCGCTCTCGATAGTGATGTACGTGGTAAAGAAGTGGAACAATAGTACAGTCAATCTGTCGAAAAAAATATCGTTTCAGTGAAAAAAAAAACCTAAAGGGTAAGTCTTGTTTTTTCTGTTGCCCAATTGACGTCAGTAAGCCACCTTGGCGATGGGCATGTTCAACTCGTAGGCGTTTTTTGAAAAACTCAAAAAAACCGTCAAAAATTTTTTGAAACGCATTTTTCTTGTTTTGTATGCATTTTAGAAACTTTTTTTCGACCATAATTGTAGAGGGCGTTGAGTGCTACAATTTATGTCATTGTTGCAATCTCGTACAACAAAAAATGCGCATTGTAGGTGGCGCTAAAGTCTCAAAAAAAGTGTTTTTTCACTTTTTCACCCTGAAAATATCATTTTAATGGAAAACTTTAAATGGCCAAGTTGTTTCGTACATAGTTACCAACAACTTTTGTATAAACATTTTTTTTGTATTACTTACCGTTTTCAAGTTATAAATTGCGCAGGTATGAAAAATCCAATATAGCGGTTTTGGACAGTTCAAGTACACATTTGCAGTGCACATTTCAATGTACGTTTTACTATTTTTTTTCATGATTGCATGATTGAAAAACAAAAAAAAATGAAAAAAAAATAAAAAAAAATAGTTTTATTCTTATTTTTTTTCATGATTGAAAAAAAAATAGTAGAAACGTACATTGAAATGTGCACTGCAAATGTGTACTTGAACGCCTACGAGTTGAACATGCCCATCGCCAAGGTGGCTTACTGACGTCATTTGGCAACAGAAAAAACAAGACTCACCCTTTAGGTTTTTTTTTCACCACTCAACCTACAGATTGACTGTACTACAAAGAACTTTATTATGATACATCAAAAAAGAGTATCATGATTCTTTAGCGTTTATATATTTGATCAACACAAATTTAATGCAAATAAAATAAATTTAACGGATTTATCATATAATTGAGGAAGGTTGCCTTTTTTTTTTTTAACACCAATTAAGCCTAGCCCCAAAGTAAGAACTGTAAGGCTTGTGTTATGGGATGCTAGGATAACGGATAGAATACATATACTGTACATATATAAGTATATTTATATAGAAAATACATATTAAACATCCACGACTGGAGTACAAATATGCTCGTATTCATCACACAAACATCTGCCCCCACCGGGATTCGAACCCGGGACCTCTCGAGTCGGCGACACCATGAAACCCGGCGTACAAACCACTCGGCCACGGAGGTCGTCAATACGGTCGGTAAAATTAAGGAAACATTATTGAGTAATTATTAAATAATCATATTTTTTTTTATGTGGCTTAACGCCATGTCTTTTGAGCCTACTACCAGGCCACTCAGAAAGTTTTGCGAAAAAAAAGTATTTATGTATAAGACACTGGCCACTTGTAATTATTTTGAAAACTACGATTATTTGAAATAATGTGTGATTTGTGCATTGGAAAAAGTTTAATTAGTGCATGCGTAATTCGAATTTTATAATTGCAATAAAGGAGTTACCTACACATGTAAAATATTTCAAGTTCGTGTTTGTGCTGCGCTACTCATATTATAGTAAGTATTTTCATTGTAATTGAACTTTATATTTTTACTAGCTGTGCGCCGCTGTGTTACCCGCGGTTTATTAGGGAAAATAAATTGTGTATTAACAGTAAAAACAATGACTATTCACATTTTTAGAAGCAAAATAATTTAAACTTAAACATCGGAAAGATCAATTTACAAAATTTGATGACTGACAGAACGGGAGAGTTGATTATGCTGTCTTATGTAATTGTTTTTTGTCTCGGGTCGTAGAGCGAGACCTAGAAATCATTTTCTGCAGCACATCCCGGTAAACAACATTGCGGGACTTATTGTTTTCTGCGTAAATAAAAAAGATTTTTTGCTCTCGACACACGGGAGCAACCCACGTTCAGTTGTCCGTGGGAGAAGCTGGGGGTGCCCAGGTGAATGCCGGCTACTTTTAGAGTTTGTCCTTAACTTTTATTTATTGCAATAGAGAAAGCCACGTTTATAGGAAATTGTAGGCGTTTGAACTGGAAGGGTAAGTTTTTGGGTATTATAGGGATTCTAGGTATCAATACCGTCTCTCCTTTGTAAGTAAGAATGGTGGCCTGGACGATGTGCCGTCTCAGCTCCGTGATGCGTAACCTAGTGCTGTTGCACAGTCTGGGCGCGTCCAGGTTACGCATCAGTATGACAGGCAGACAGACAGCCCGGACAGGTTGAGGGAATTTAAGAACTCTTCATGGTATAGGTATTAGCCCACAACGGCAAAGCCTTGAGGCATGCGTTTATCTCATCTGCCGCGGTACCTCGCTCGATAACCAGTAACGTCTGCCGGAAATCACCTGCCAGCAAGACGACCACTCCACCAATCAAGATTCGATTCGGTCCCATACTATCAATTTGCACCATTGCAATAGAGCACCGCAAATGGGCGTTTCTTCACTTGCAAGGTTCAGCGGGAGCTTGAATACTGAGTGTCCAGTTCTGCCACCACACAGCCAGGTTGCGGCTATTCCGGAGGACGCAACAGCCAGCGCAACCAACCACTTTGTCTTTGTACAACTATGCTAACAGCAAGTTCATTAAAAAAGTTTTGCCGGTGCCCCTGGTGCGTCCAAGAAAAAAAGACTTTCAGCGCTTCGTTAAAACTTATGTCATCGTTGGCTAGTGTTATTCCTTGGTATCGGCGAGCAATATCTTCAGACAAAGCGCTTTTTATACTTGTTCCACAATTGCCGGGGGTTGGAGAGTTTGCAGGTACTATAATCGCAAAGAGTTCTTTCAACGTAGTCGCTGACCGGCACAACATTGCGTACTCCATCGTTGCGTCCCAGTGGCCGTCGTCTTCAAGCAGCTCCATCGCCTCACATGCTTCTTGGAAAGTGGCTTTTTCCGGCCTATCGACGATTTTGAGCGCTTGAAAACTGGTAGGACCCCGGATTCTAGTCAACAGCAATAGTACACAATAGCACTCAAAGTGTGTTATGTGTACGGTATAAATTCTACCGAGGGCATCTAAGGCTTTCACACCAGGCCAACCGTCGACGGGTGCGCCCTGCACGTGACGTTTCATTCTTTTCGTGACGCATTCCACGTGTAATACCTTGGCACTTCTACATAGAGCAACGTGCGAGCAAACTCGTCACCCTGGCACAGTTGCTTGCTCCATACCTTGAATGATTTGACACCGTTTTTCAGTTTCCAAGTCGTCGCCTCCCATAAAACACACCTGTAAAAATTGTGGCTGTTCATTAGGTGGTGCCAACAGTGATCCCATTTTGTGATGTAGTTGGCCTTGCACTGTGAACATCCAGGCATTGCAAGAATTTGTCCGCCCCGAATGTCGTCATGTGAAAGCATGGGTTGTATTTTTTTACGCGGTTTTAGAACCGTCGAGATTCATCAATTTCACCTTTAAATAATGTATTTAAGGGTTCCACAGGCTCTCAAAATAGGAATGGTTACTTTGCCCCCAGAGCAACACATTCCCGCTCTTTCCTCATTCCATTTTAATGATCCACAATGGTGACACACATTTTCCATAGGGCAAATTTTTATGAGAATAATTTTTATACATTAAAATATCTGCCAAACTATTATAATAGTTTGTCGGCAGAGTTCCCGTGGATAACGATTAGTTTCAAATTACTTACAAAACAAAAACAATAGTTACTATTATAAAAATACATAATATTTATATATTAATTATATAAGACTCCTATGATATTCCCATAAAACTAGTTTTTACTATTTGTTATTCAATCACGCAAAAATGGCTGAACGGATTTAGATAAAAACCGGCACTCATACAGTTTATGATTTATGATCAGCAGTGCTATTCTGTAAAACCCCCACGTGCGGATCTTTACAGAATAGTGCAGCTGAAATGAGACTTACTTACGACTTTTTCTTTTTTTCTTTTTTTTTTTTGCTTTCATACTTCTAATCACACACATACGCGTACATACACACAGAAATACACACCTGTACAAGCTACGGACACAATGCAAGGTAATGTTTTCGTAAAATTTTTTTTAGCTGCTGTTTTGTTGTTTCTTTTAAATATTTATTAAGGATGTTTTCTGGTAGTTGATTTAAAAAGGTTGGAGTAAGCCATTTTCTCATACGTTTACCGTAATAATTAGTGTATGTTGGTACTTTATATTTATGTTTACAAGCTACCTGACGGGTTGGGTTCCTATAGACATTTTCTATTTTATTTCCTCCAAATACGTATTGTTCAAGTATAATTATCATTTTTACATAATATATTCTACCTGGACAATTTTACACATTTTAAATAGCTTATTATATTCACCCTTTAATAAATCCTTTTCCTTTTTATTTATAAGTGTCTTTAATAACCTCAACTACAAATCTTTAATTTTATTTAAATACACTGGGAACGTAAATCCATAAGAACCCAAGCCATAATTTATAATTGCATCCGCAAGGGCATAATATAACATATATGATACTTTTCTACTTACAGCATGTTTCAAGTTGTATAATTTACCTAGTATTGTTCTTAGCTTTTTACAAACACATTCAATATGCAAATCCCAAGCGAAGCGACTGTCTATTATCAAGCCAAGGTATTTGAAAGAGGGAACACAGTCAATTATTTGACACTGGCAATCAGCACTGGTCTTATGTAGGCAATCATAGGAATGACCTATTAATTTTACATCGAAATTTTTCGTAACCTTATTATATGGAGATGTAATAAGCATGGGTTTAGTTTTTTTTACATTAATTATCAAGTCGTTATCATGCGCCCATTTAAAAACATTATCAAGATCATATTGCACTATGGATTGTATTCTATCACAATCGTAACCGCTGTACATTAGACAAGTGTCATCAGCATAGCTGTATATTTAACAGTATTTTATCAGGTTAACCATACTGTTGACATGCATGATGTAGCCTATTGGCCCAAAAACTGATCCAGTTGGGACACCATATTTAATTTCACCTTCCACGCTATCAATTCCATTTATTCTAAATCTCAACTGCCTGCTCTGGAGGTAAATTTTAAACCATTTTTTAACTGGACCTCTGATGCCACACTCGTCCATTGCCTGCAGCAAACCCCCATGGTCTAGGGTATCAAAGGCTTTCCTGAAGTCTATAAAAACAACAATAACTATTTCCTTTCTATCTAATGCACAGTTAATATCATCAGATTTTTTTTGTAAAACTGTTGTCGTACTCTTATTAGGCCTAAATCCATGTTGTGTGCCTGTTAAAATATTGTTATTTTCTAAAAAATCCGAAATTTGTTTAACTAATAATTTCTCAAAGATTTTATTTATTGTATTTAATATTGCAATGGGCCTATAATTTGAATATTCCTTATGATTTCCTTGTTTAAAAATTGGTCTGATTAAAGCTAGTTTCAATTCTGTCGGGTATACTGCTTTTTTAATACAATTATTAATAAAATATCCACTCAACAATCCACTTAACTCCATTTTAATATATTTTAAGTCCTTGACTCTGATACCATCTGAACCAGGGGCTTTGCTGCAGTTCAACTGGCTTATAATTTTATAAACATCTTGTGCAGTTGCGTAATCCAATGTCGAGTCATATTCAAAACCACATTTTTTAAATCATTTCAAGCATTTCTGGTAAATGTTGGCCGGCACTCTGCTTGATGCTGAGCGACTGCGAGTCGTCTAGCATTAATTGTCTCATCTACTGTCTCAGAAGCACGCGGATTAGTCATTAGCTGGGCATGATTTAGCCGTTGAGAAGTTTCTTCATCAGGTGTTTCAATGGCACGCTGAGTGGACATACGCTATGCGTTTTCTTGATGCCAAGTAGCTGCTTTTTCAGGTGTCTCTAATGCACGCTGATTAGCCTTAAGCTGGGCATGCTCTCGTCGTCGAGAAGTTCCTTCATCAGGTGTTTCAATGGCGCGCTGAATGGACAACGTGTGCGTTTTCTTGACCCCGAGTAGCTGCTTCTTCAGGTGTCTCTCATGCACGCTGAGAAGCTATGCGGATAGGATTTTCCAGACGCCGAGCATCAGCTTGCGCAGAAGTTTCTTTCTTTCTTTTTTATTTCTTCAGTTCTGACTTCTGCCTGACGTGTTGCATGGTCACGTCTGCGCTGTTCAGTATCATAAGTAGATTCTTGCTGTATTGCAATTTTCATGGATGGAGCTCTTTGTGAGCTCTGTGAACGATTTGGTTTACGTTTGCGAGTCATTTAGATACACAAAAAAATTATAACAATTTCGTTGTCCTATAAATATGTATGAAATATTAATCTATCAAAATAGCTTTGACATGAATGTCAAAAAATATGTACCTACTTAAACAAAATTCATTTGCATTATTTTCCCATGGAAATAAGATATTTTCCCGCAGTTAAATGTAGCCTATGTGTTAATTCAGGGTATCAGCTAACTCCTCACCAAATTTTATTAAAATCGTTCCAGCCGTTTAGACGTGAAGAAGTAACAAACATACACACTCACATACTCACACACTCACAAACTTTCGCCTTTATAATATTAAGTGTGATTAGTGTGATGAGAATAAATTCTTAAAATCCAAGTAGATAAGAGGAAGTAGTTGTATGTGAAAATTATTGAATAACCAAAGTACTAGTTTGTAAGATCATACTCACTTTCCGCCGTGGAATCCGCGGATGGAACGCGCACTGCTGATGTTATTAAGGCCCAGTTTTACCAACATTACTGAAGCTACATCCATTTAAGAAAATCACACTTTTTCAACTATCTGAAATCAGTACAAGCAATATGCTCTATGCTATCTATAGGTATATTCTTAATATGCTCCCGTTTAAATCAATTGTTTAAACTTAATTTGGTATTTAGAACTCGACAAATAACTTTATTAAACAGCATCCTAGGGTAGTCATTCCTCATGGACCTAGTTAAGAGGGTATGCCCGGGCAACGTCTGCGAGATCTGGACTCTTTATGTTCGAGAGTGGAGAAGAAACTGTTTTTTTTAATAGTAGGTGCCCGCGACTTCGTCTGATTGGTTTATCATACAAAATTTTACCCCCTTTAAGGATGAATTCTGGGTAAAACCCTCCTAACTAAAGGACAATGTTAAAATTGGCCTAAGAACCAACACCAATTTGGCATTTATGATAATTCTTAGTATATTTTTTGCAATAATTATCAGTATTTAGATTGTGACGGACACTTCCAGTTAACACTTTGCTATTCGTATTTGCTATTTAAAAACATGACATCAGTCTGTCCTTTTCATTCCTTATTAAGCATGACAAGGACAAACGGTTGTCAAGTGAAGGGCCGGCATAAACTCGATACTCTGTGGTTGTGGTGCAGGCAGTTTGAATTCGTAGTAATCTGTGGCATTCGTGCATTCTCGTCAATCGTCAAAGAGTACTTTTTATGTACGGAAAATTGTCGTTTCGGTTACCTGTTGTGTGTGTTTATTTGCGATTGTTTTTCTTTAATTTAACTATTACTATTTCGGCTATCTAATATGCCATCGATGTTACCAAAGAGCAGAGACCTTATTACCAAGTACTAGTGAACCTGTGCCACAACATCCTGAGAGGATCATACTGCCAAATTATTCAAGAACACCTGATACACATTCACGCTGCATATTTACACAATATACACGTGTTAAACAAATAAATAGGTACAGTATACAATAAGATACAATTATGTAAAAAATAGTCAATAAATAATAAGATGCAAAACTACAGTTTTTATTTTATTCATGATTCCTATCTAACCAAGTTTTTCCTAATAGTTATTCTGTAAAATCGCACCGAATAAAATGAATTAGTTGTAATTTTAATTCACTTCATACTGAGTTTATACTAAGTTCATAGGTTGACCTATGTTTCATTGAATATTAAACATAACCTCAAAAAAAAAAGTTTTTCTAATAATTTGAGTTCTCAGAAGTGTCCGACAATAATCTTTGTTTTTACAGTCATTTACTTGGGATTTCGAACCTAGAAAATAATATTTCATGATTGTTGGTTATTAGGCTAACTATGTATGGACGGACAGGACGTAGAGCAATGTCCTTTCAGCTCAATCGGTTCAGTGATGAGGTAACAGATAGGCAGACACATTTCTTTTATTTGTTTTAAATAGTTACTTTGCATATTCTTAACAAATTCTTATATTGAAGTAATATGATCCGGGATAACATCTTAATCTAGATGACGCATGTCGATGGCGTCTGCGTATTGGAATAATGCCAACAAGCAAATTTATTACTTTTCTCTTTGAACAAGAGTGTCAAGAAAAAGTGCTGGTCACTCCACAGAACACTGAAAAGGGTTATAGTATTATGTTTAGTATAGTATAGTAGTAATTATTCCTATAAACTTCCGGACACATCTATCGGCCCACTAAGTGTTATAAGTTTCAACGATCTGTAGCAAAATGTATGTTTCTGGTTGAGCAATAATTATAAAAACATACGAAAAGAAGGTTAATAAATCCTAAGATTTGAATCGTACACCGAAAAACTGTGGCTATATTTTGCAATGACCTTATGATGATGGCCGTTTTGACACATTAGAATAGCGAAGACAAAGTAAATTTGTTATCGAAGAAATAAACTAAAGCTATGAAATGCGAGTCTCTTTTTTTTAATATCTAGCTTAATTACTATAGGTTAATTAGTATAGGTTCACATTAAAATCCCGTTTCATTTCAAAATCCGCGTTCAAATTGCTCTACACACTAAACTAATTAGTATTAGAAAGAACAGTAATGAGAAGCAAGCCAAATTTTAAACTGGCGGTAGCGAGACGCTGATGCCCGATATGTACGAGTATGTTGCGGCGGTAGCGTCGCATCTTTTAAATATTAAGTCTTTAAATTTTAAGAGTAGTCAGAAGTTACTTATCAGTATTATATATAATTTCGAATAGGTAGCTCCATATCCTGAGGTGGGCACTAGACCATCTTGTGGTGAGCACGGCCCACCCGGCCCCCCTCTATATACGCCTTTGCATGGCTTCCTTTAATTTTCTCGTTCTTATTCAATCGCTGTCTATAAAACTCATTGTAGTAATTCGTATACAGAATGCGTCATATTCGTATAAAGGAAGACGTTACTTGGAAAAATGCCAAAGAAAATACAATACCAAATGCGAGGGCTCAATGAATGAGAAAGACAAGCCAGAAGCCAAATCAACGCTATTGTGAGAGGTCACTTCACTATCAGAATTCACTACATTATTAAAATATGTTTTTTGGAGAACTTCTCCTCTGATTTGTTTTGTTTTTCCATTATAATAACGTTCAATTCTCACAGCGTTTTACAAACAATTTAGTGGCATTTTCTAACGCTTCAAATAATAAATTAGTAATTTAGTAACATTAAATGCCTTGTAGTGGTTGTCTTGACTTTGAATGTGCAGACATTGTTAGTAGCGGTATAGTAAATACTTTAGTGTAGAGGTAGTTTATGACCTTTTATACCAGTAGGATGCCACTGCTATATTCACTTTTCTGCGATATGTACCCCGGAAAGAGATGTCGTAAACACGAGTTGACCATGCACGCAAGCGAGGCGATTATGTTGCTTATAATTAATAAGATAATTCTTCAGCTTCTATTGCAACATTTGCAAATATTGCAATATAATAATGTTCAGTTCTTTCAGACTTTTGCACGCCCTGCAGTTTATGTGCTGCGCTGCTCGTAGCAGAGCGAACAAGAAATAGGGTAGGTAATAATAATATTCAACTTTTTTGGACAATGTTCATCCTAATTTTACGTAAAATCCGGCTTCATTTAGAATATGGCAACCCTACATGTAACAGATTTACCAATATATAACCGTTCCTACACACTTTTTAGTTTTTATACGCAATACACGAGTTAAAAGCTGGTGTTTCAATGGTTTGGGCCTCTATTTTTTTATTGGATTCGAATGTTGCGGCCCCTAAAGATTACCATCTGTTTCTTGTTAGAATGCTGTCTACCACTAGGACCAAAGGCTTAACGTGCCTTCCGAAACACGGAGGATATCGAGATAATAAGTTTGGTCACCGATCCAATGACAGGCCATAGCAAAAGTTGCTTGACTGCCACGATCACAAACCGAACGGTGGCATATTTGAATAAGATCGGTCGTAATAAATTAGAATAGACGACGATATAGACTGGCGATAATTTGACACGCTGAAAGAGGTTGTGGTAAACGATAAATTTGTTTGTGCAGAAGGAGCATACAAAGTTCGAACGCTAATTTAGCGGATTTTAGTATTGGTACTAAAATGCGCTAAATTAGCGTTGGCTTTGGAGCCACCAAAAATTCGTCGCGCAGGTGTGGGATAAGCCTTTATGCTATTAAGGTACCTACACCTACATATGTACATATAACGCCAAGGAGATTTTGAGGCAGGTAACTATTTTTATCTAACGAAGAAAATAAAAACCAACAACCCATTACAGCAATCGTGTTTATTTGTTTTATTAAGTCGTGTATTAAATATAAAACAGTTCAGAGAGCTGTTGAGCGGCGCATTGTCATGAGGTACGGTACATCATATCTGCAGGGAGAAGAGAAGACACTGCTGCAGGAAGTTATAACTACTTATTTCTAACAAAGAGCAATGCACCAGCCAACGCACTTTACCCAGGCGCACACTGGACTTTCAAAATTCGTTACAAAAGCTCGAGTGTAGCTTTGTTTGTGAAATTATTAGCTAAGTAGGTACCAAATTCATTTATTATTTATTACGATCCCATAATACAAGCCTACAGTGCCTACTTTATTTAAGGGGCTAGGCTTATTGGAGTGTGTTCAAATATATATATATATTTTACATTTGTATCTAATGCTATGGCCATATTGTTACACTATCGCGAACAGTTGCCGTTTTCCCGACGCATCTAACCTAGCAATAGGCAAGTCATATTACTGATCTTTTTCTAAAATTTGGCCATTGCCTGGACCGACTTCTGAAAACGGAAAATGTTCGCGATAGCGCGACAGAAATAAGTTGCCACTTTATGATTTAATGAAACATTGATATTACTGTAATTATGCAAACACGCAAACCTTAAATTTGAAACAATGGTAAAATGATATTTTTGTGTGCGCCTGCATTTGGAAGTATCTATAGTGAATACATCGTATCAATAGAATATTGTTAAAATGAATCACAAAATAACAGCCAGATTTCAGACAAAATACTTAGTTATGCTAGAATAATAAAGGTTCAAAAAATTGTTCAGTCATAATTTATAAGAAATAGTTCTTTTTATTTTATTTTCACAATATCATTAATTATATTTTTTAATATTTTAATATCAACAAGTTTCACAGCTTCGTCCCCAGATAGAGTGGTACGTCGTGAAGGATTATTGTCAGATGGAGAAAATAATAGTTTGAAAGCTTGATAAATGCAATAAAGTTGATAACAATAACATTATTACTTGTTTTAAACGTACAATAGGGACAACATGTTTCGTACACACAAGTCTGAAAAAGCAGAAATTTTACACAGTATTCAAAATTTTCCCATAACTCGAGTTTCATATTATTCCTTGGTAAATTCCTACAATTCAATTACAATTACTGCGATGATAACGTCTTTTTCGAGTATTATAGTCGAAGTGGTTTGAAATCCAATTTTATTATTTTATCATATTTTAATTAAAATTTCAATGCATTACTTAAAAAATAATAAATTACATGGCTTTGACAAACATTGTTTGGGAATCCAAAAATCACTCAACAAAAAAAAGCAACAAAATAAACATAAATTGGATTTTTGATATTGATGTTTACAATTTGTCATTATCCATTATCCTTTAATTTTTTACACCTAATTGATAAGTCACAACTTAATCGTACAAATTGGTATTTTAAAAAACCCTTTACATTTCAACGGATAACGTTTTAACATTATTAAAATTTTATTTTCTACCTACAACCCTAATCCAAATTTATATTTCAATAGTTTTAATTTAAATTCATGTGTAAATAAAGCTTTATTCCGTTAATTACCGTTTTCTCTCTTATAAAAATCCCTTTAATAATATCGTGTTATTGAATTTAAAATAAAAATAATTTTTAATTGTTTTTATTCGTTTCTAACTACTCGACATCGCTCTTAAGGACAAAGCTGAAATTCTGGACAAAATGCGGATCTTGGGTTACAGTTTGAGTTTGGTTACCGAGCAAGATATTAAATATCAGAACATAGCATAATCATTAAGAGCTCTGTCTAAACTCAGGATAAAAATGTAGAGTATGATATGTGACCCCAAAAGAGTACAGTGAGATAGATCTAAAGGAAGAGTGCTTAGTTTATAGAGAACATCTATCATGCAGGCTACAACACTGATTACACTTACACACGGTTCCCTTAGGATCGACATACGAGTGTCCACCACAGGGACCTTATTCTATATTGGATACACATTGATAAGGGTTATTTGGGATATCAACATTCGCATTGTAAAGATGATTTTGAATACATGATAGGCCTGAAGATGTTTAACTTGCTGAAGGAGAAGGTATCATTATTATTTCAATCTGTTCAAATTGTTTTCCTACGATTAGAATGAATTATATCATGCTTTCAAATGCGAATGCCTTTCGCGCTCTTTCCATCTTTTCACAGTTCAAAACCTATTGAAACGAGCACCAAACTCGTGTCACTAAAGAAAGGAATTGCAAATGACGACGCAAGACATTCTGTCCCCTGCGTACATGCAATCGTAACTAACGTGCGAGAGAGAAAGAATGTCTTGTACGGGCATTTTCGATTACTTTTGACACGAGTTATACTAAATGTTATGTCGTCCACACCTATTGGATATCGAATTTAATGCACGCTGCTCTGACTAAATGTTTTGCTCACCGTAAATGCCTGGTATGAGGCGAGACACATCAATTGGGGTTAACATATATTATTAGGTATATTGTATTACATTAATATTATTACATCAATGGAATGAAATTGTTTGTCGAGGTGGAATGCTAAAGTTTACGTCGAAGTTTTTCACAAACTGCCACTTTTGAAGACAGAAAACACAAAGCGAGCTAAAGGATCCATTTTATTTTTTTCAGTCATCCGTTTGTATAACGCAATTTAGGAGCTGTAACTCCGGTGATCTCATTCGGAGTTCATTGTTTATTTTATGTGAGAGAAAGGGTCGATAAAAGTTACCACTGAACTGAACTAAGTGACGCGATCAAAAAAAGTTAGGTATGTACACTTCTTTTATAGCCGTCGATGTGAAAAACAAACTAACAACATTAGTTTATCGAATGAACACGTTAGGGACGACTGAAATCTGTAATACGCATCCTGTTTTTTTTTTAAATAAATGGGCTTTGGTCGATATTGAATTTATTTATCGAGTTTGGATGAAATAAACAGATAAGATATTACCGGTTGAATATAGCAGGTTTGTAAGCTATTTCACAATGAATAGATGAGGGCCTTATGCCCTTACTATTTTGGTACTCAATTGAAATAAATAATTAACTGCTATTAAAAAGTGCGTAGAACTTATAGTATGGCAGTTGTGCAAAACTTGTGGCTGTCTAAACGTATTCAGTGTAAAACGCATTGCTGGTACAATTGCCGTTGTCGTTGGGCGAGTCCGGGTGCTCCTCTGGTTCGACGCCGTTTGTGCGCATCTCATCGCGGATCTGCACGAAAAAAAGAACAACTTAAATGAAATAATTCAACTAGGCTGTAATATACTAAAGGGAAAAAGTCTTGCTTAAATGTTTATCCTTTGACTCTAGCTTTAATTAAAAAATACGATGAAAAGTACTAGTTTTCGCCAGGGATTATATTATGAACTTCCGACTTCTGGGAAAGCTTACAAGGCTGGACGTCGGCGATATTTATATTGAGTTAACTGCCAGGAGTAGTTGACAAGTAAGTATTAGTTTGTAGGTACAATATTATACTTAAAATGGGTTTGACATGGGATTGAATATTCGACGAAATAGAAACAATATCAGGTTGTGGTTTAGCTTAATTGTGCTGAAATAAGCTCTTTAAGCGTAGGTAGTTTTGGTAAATGTATCTGTTATTGGCTTTCATAAATTGTTTGGGAAATTAACAACATGATTATTCTATTTTGTTTTGTACCTCGTGGACTAGGATCTGAGCTCGAGAAATGGAAAACATAATGATAGGCAAATTAAACGTAAAAACAGTTATTCTGTAAGAACATTATGAAAATATTACGATAGTTGAAGTTATGATGAGTTATAAATTTATATCGATTTGCGAGAGACTAGCTACAAAATATTTATTGTAGTTTGAAAAAATGACGTCCGAGTTTTGGTTCAATAAGTACGATTAGAATTCGATCACCATTTCAAACGAATTAATGTTGACAGGAAAATAGAATAAGTCAGATGCAAAATATTCCCATACAGAAAAACGAGCATAGGAGTTTCGTATAAACCTGAATGTCAGGTTCCAAAACTAAGTACATTTCAATAAAAAAAGTGGTCTGTGAAGCGAAAAATAATGTAAAGGAAACCTGAAAATTGATCTGCATCGAGAATATATATGTGCTATGATTTTTTACGAATTTAAATGTGGCTTAAAATCTGATGAGTCATTTGATCGATTTAGAACTGCTTTTATGGATGAAGGACCTTCGAAAGCAACCATCTACCGCTGGTGTAGCTATTTTAAACGCGGTCGTCTTACTTCGGGGGATGAACAAAGGAGTGGTCGTCCTACTACGACAGCTGTCACCGGAGAAAGTGTGCTGGCAGTAAAAAATTTAACTCAAGAAAACAGACGAATTACCTACGAAGAGATTTAACATACTCTGCAGATTGGTTCAGGAAGTGTTCACAAGATTTTGTACGAGCACCTTTGCGTAAGGAGGATAGTTTCCCGCTGGGTGCCGCACAACCTCACCGAAGCTCAGAAGCAGGCCCGTGTGGATTGGTGCAGTGATGTGATACAAAAATTTGATGCAGGCTCGTCACGGCGCGTTTACGATATTGTGACAGGTGACGAATCCTGGATTTATCAATACGATCCAGAAACAAAGCGTTAAACGACAGTTTGAATGTTTCAAAATAAACCAACGCCTACGAAAGTGAAGCGATCGAGGAATGCAGGGAAAATTTTGATCGCTAGTTTCTTCACTTTGACGGGGTACCTAATTTCAATTCCACTTTGAGACCAAAGCAGCATCAACGCCGAATGGTATAGCACAAAATACCTGCCAGAAGTTTTTTACAACAAGCGACCTAACGCCGGGCTCCTGACCCTCTTACAGTCCTGATTTGGCTCGGTGTGACTTCTTTTTATTCCGTGAAATAAAGAATCTGCTCAAAGGGATACAGTTTTCAATGCCGGAAGAAGCACTAGCAGCATTTGGAAAGGCCGTGGAAGAGGTGCCTGCGGAGGACTGGATTTTTTTTTTGAAAATAGGTTCAGGCGCGTGAAACTTTGTATAAAGGCTGGTGGAGAGTTCTTGGAAAAGATTTAATAAAAATATTTTTGTCATAGAAGTTACTTTTTTAGTTTCTCTAAACTTTCTGAGTGTCTTACGTACAACTCAATTATCCATATTTAGTCCATGAGAAAATAAGTAAGGTCTGACGGTCTTGGGATCCTTTTGGGGTACGGAACCCTAAATAAAGTAGAGTGTTATCCAAAATTAATTGCCGTTGTGAAATAAGCGTCGTAATAAACGAAATCTAAGTGAAGTCTAGTATCTAAGGCTCTAATTATCAAATTTTGTATGGAATGTACCAATTAATTTAAGCGTCTGGTAAGTTAAGTTTGCTAAGTTTTCATAGAAATTTTGAGGATGCAATACGATTACGGAGCTGTCAAAATTCGTGCTTGGGCCTTTAAAACCTGCGCGTATTGTTGAGTTTGCCGCTACTTTCTCAACCGACATAAATTTTGCATCAAGGAAGACAACTCACAGCAAGATAGAGCAATATATGAAAAGACAATTTTACCAGCTCACCTTCTCGACTTGTCGCATCACGCGCATCATGTTGAGGCCGGCCAAGTTCTTCAGCTCCTGCACACTCCACTGCCCGCTGCGCAGTAACTCCGCGAACAGTTCAGGGTAACGCGACACATCTTCCAAGCCGCGCGGAACTCTGTTATCGGTATAAATTATTGAATCAGGTATCTTTATTCCTAGTCAAGCGGAGATTGCCACCGGAGGCAAATACGACTAAAAAAACTGAAGAGAGGGCAGTGACTTCATGCCCATTAGCATCCAGTGGCAATCCTTGCAGGGGCGACTGGGAGAAAAGCCCCCGCGGGGATTGCCACCGGAGGCGGATGGGAATAAAAAAGCTGAAGTTGGGACAATGCCCTCATTCCTATTTGCCTCCGGTGGCAATCCGCGCGGGGGCGACTGGGAATAAAAGATCAAGTGGTTTTAGCGCCGCCGATAAGCAGCATTGGCAGGGACGCAATGCAGTGTTGACGTTTCGGGACGTAAATAAAAGACAACAGACTGCTACTATAGAGACCATTTATTAGCCCCGCAGAGCTTTATAATATGTTAGGAGAGATGCGTTAGTACATAATTATGTATCTAGTTTGCAAATTACCCAAGTCTGCAAACGTATAACCGTCTTATCGGCTACTGCGCAGCCAGCGTTCTTTTTATATGACGTGACCAATACAGAGTGGCAACACCAGAGCTCATGCTCAAGCCATAGCTCATGCTATGCCAGCTATGCTCCAATACTTGCAAAGCAGAAGCGTGTCTTTAAAATTGGCTTGCACTGTACGGTAAGCTTGTTTTTACCATTTTGGCTAAATAATTTGGTTATTAATATTATTCATTTGGTTATTCTTAATACAGATATCGGAAAATTTAGTGGTTATATTAGTGTTTTTGATCTGAACTTACTGACTAGAATGCCTTTGCGTTCTTTAAACTATTGAAACCTACCTATTAACTCCATCGAAGTCACCTCCGATTCCAATATAGTCGGCTCCGATCATCCGTTTCACGTAGTGAAAGTGCTCTGTAAAAAATAAACCTTATTTAGTTGTTTGTTTTCCTAACAATTGAGCTAGAAATGGAGTTAATATATCGGTGTAATAGAATAAAATAGAAAATGAAACGTTACGTTTATTACAAGTCTTTTTTGTTTTGAGAACTTGCATTTATTATGAAATGGAATATTATGGTTTTCAAAAGTTAATTTAAACGATTGAATTCAAAAAAGAGCACTCGCGTAGAAGCGTTCCGTTCGCAGAATAGTACATAATGATATAAGTGCCGTAAGTTGAGAAATACATACAGCCGAGGCGATATTGTTAGCCCGAGCCGTAGGTGAGGGATATAAGAAGGCAGAGGCTGTAATTATCAAACCGCACGTATGCCATACGACGTTTTATAACACATTTGCGAGAAAGCTGTTTCCGTTATTTAAGTAAAGAAGCAAACTTATTCTTATAAGAAAATTGCATGCATTTCCACGTTCAGGTGGTGAAAATTAGAAGTACATCTTTTGCCTTCATTTTCTTTTTAGTATTATAGTGAGACAAAGGTATAGATTAAAAGTACTTCCAAGAAGGTTCGATCGAATAAAAAAAACCTTAAAGAGTACGCACGGTTCCATTTTTTGAGCCAATGTGTTGAAAAATATATTTAGTAATTGATACTTCATCATAACTACACCTCCGGACACATCTATCGGCTCACCCAGCATTTAAATGTGTGTGAAACTTGAAAGTTTTGACGGTCCCTAGTTAAAAATAAATGCTATATATGCTATGCTATAATATAAATATTTTATGAAGATTTTTTTAATTTCTTCTCTAGAATCTCGGCGCAAATATCACCAGTCAGTTTAAAGTGAACGATAATAGTTCACTATAAACTGACAGGAACCTACTCATTTAATATTAAAACTAAGCGATTAAGTAAGAAATGGCGAGTCATGAAGCGAGTGTACGATTTTATACAGGTAAATAATCTGGTGATATTTACGTTGAGATTCTAGAGAAGAAATGAAAAATAACGTCTTTTAAGGTTTATATTTACGACCTTAATTAAACCTAAACTGGGAATATTAAGAAACTTATTTTGAATTATTCCTATACGCACCGAGTGTACCTACATCGTAATGATGGGACCAAATAACTGAGGCATATTCTAGTGTGCTTCTCACTAAGGGGAAATAAAGGTATAATAGAGTTGATTGATAAGTAAATTCCTTTTTATAGCGTGAAATAAACCCAAGGCGTTGATGACCATGGGAAAATATGTGGTTGTAGTGTAGTTGGAACGTAAAGCCCTCGTCAAAACATATACCAAGATCCCTAATAGGTGTCTGTTGTAGTGTAGGTCCACCGATATGGAAATCAAAAATGAGTTTATTTTTCATAGAACCAAAGGAAATAAAATTGCCCTTATGCCCTATAGTATTGGTAAAAATTTGCTTTTGGAGCACCACCTATTCACAAGATCAAAATTATGTTGCAGTTTAGGCAGTCTTGGGTGTGTTATATGTTAAAGATTTTAAAATGATCCGCATAGAAAGACAAGGACAAGCAAGACTTTTCGCTAAATCGTTTATTAACACAACGAAATGCAAAGGCCATAAATGCGAACCTTGTGGAATGCCAGAAATTACTGTAGTAACAAGATTACTTTTATCCGATACGATATGAGCCATCTTAGCAGATTGCCAGGTACTGCATAGCTTTCCAACTTTTGGCACAGCAACCGGTAACCAATCATAAACAAAGTCGCCAAATAAAGATGTTATTAAAGAAAAAGATGTTGTAAAGACAAAGTTCTTAGATTTAAATGCAGGCCAATTAAGATTATGCGACATAATTATTTTATGTGACGACGCTAGTGTAGCGCATAATAGTATCTGAAGCGTAACATTTTTAATTGAAATATCGTGTTCATATCTCACTTCATTAAATGCAACAGATTACCTACGCAATCCTTTACAGTAGAAAGACTGGTTCATCCTTATTTTAAATGAAATCTTGTTTTCTTTTTCTTAAGATCTTCTTAATGATAATTAAGATATATTTGACATTGCAATAGTTTTACAACACGCTTTTCGTAAAATATTGTAAAAATATTGAATTTGGAAGGAGCGTATACAGGTATGTTTTTGTTCTCAAAATGTTTTTAAATGTTAAATACTTTTTTAGCCAGATGGAAATGTGTTCCCATATCACCATATCTCGAGGATATATATGAGACTGGGTAGGGATAGATCATAGACAGAGAATGGAATCTCTGTCTGCGGGATAGGTGGTTATGTGGGACTTTAACCTGATTGTGGCTGTGCGACGTACTTCGGGTACGGAAACAATCCTACTACCGGAGCCGCCACCCGTAATCTGTTTTATCCGGCATTCTCTACAATACAGATGCAATGCATAGAATGCCTAAAACATCAAGGCAATGTATGAAATATTATTCATTTTATACTTTGCCTAGGTATTCTAGACAAGTCTGGCGGGCCTGGGGATCTTGGACCTTGGACTATAATGTTATTTACAATTTTACGGTAGTTGTTTGGCAAACTGTAAAACCAATGTACCGAATTACTTTTCCATTTGAATAAACGCGTTCATTTTTCAAATTAGCACAATTTCCGTTTGATCCTATTCAAACCGTAGATAAAATGAAAGATTAGGCCGATTCTCAAAATTATTGTGAGCACGTGATCTTGATAACGAGATGAACTTTAGTCAAAGTTGGTGAATTTCCGACAACGATTAAACTCAACTTGAACTGATTCAAGCGGTTACATAAGCGTTTGAGTGCTCAATGGGGCGATCTCTATTTAGAAGCTTATCACACTCACTTTTACTAATCCTCAGATTTGAACTATTGTAACATCTAATATGACTTATTAGAACTGACGAGCCCGGTTTTTTTATATCTTCTGTTTTTCAATTTGGTTTTTATTGTATTTCGGTAGTTTTATTTATTGAGTCATAGTAACGAGAGTTGTTAAGACAAACTATCATTCTAAGCCCGTGGCTGCTAATGATACTACCAGGGGTAAGAATGTAGCATTAAAAGAATGTGTGTGAGAGAGAGGATGGGAATTGTAGGTTAAAAGAAAGCAATTAAAGAAAGCAGGATTAATGAGAGGAGGATGCTAAGCTGTTCGATTCCAATTTTGACTGTCATCGATTGGAGATGTCATGAATGTCCCTAACAGTGTGGATAATATTACCTTTGCTTACACTTAACTAATCAGACTCTTTATTTACGTACAACTATACATCGTAAAGCTTTTTGGGAAGCTTCAAAGACTATAAAGTTTAAAGTTTACTGTCGAATAATAATTTATTGCAATATTGATTAAAATTTTAAGCATGTTACATAACGCTAGGACCTATAGAGGTATTTCAATATACCAATGTTCATTTTATTTTGTAATTCAAGATTTTACTTTTGTTATGACGTAGGTACTTAATATGAAAATAAAGAGACGGACGTAATTCATTTAATGGATTTACATATATACAGTTTGGTTTTTAGACTTAAATGATTAATTACTATCCGTTATGTTGATACTTTGTCCCTCTTATTATTAAACGGAGAATAAGCTTGAATAAGTTATTCCATGTTTTGTCTTTGTTCGTTGAATTACAATAGGCATTTGAGTGATATGCACAAAACCCGGCCGTGTATGTGTATGTATGTGGCGGCGAGGGGGTGTATGTTTTGATAACTTACATTCAATCATGTTAAAAGACATGATTAAAGACACTTACAATGTTACGTTTCCCGCTGTCGACTATCGACAGAAATTCTTCGTTTTCGAACTTAATTTTATAAAGGGGCTTTATTGACTAACCTGTAATCTGGCCTTTTGAAGGGAACGGTCGCTTTAAAGTGAGCGTCGTTTAAGAAAGCCTGAAGGTGTTCGGGCGGGTCTTTTGTTTATGAACGATCGCCTGTAATTGGGATTAAGTCAAATCAGCCCCAGTCAAAGGATAAACCCGATCCACCTAGTTAACGCTTTCATAGAACTTTGTTCATTAATGCCATAGTATAAAATGTTGTAGTGTTTTGGACCGTGAAGCTCACTTTTGTAAGGTGGGTAATTAAGGCTGCACTGTACGTTCAAAATTGGGTTTTCTGTAAAATAATTCCTGCGTGGATAAAAGGTTTCAACTGTTATCATCTACTTAGTTTGTAGGTATTGTGTCTATATTCTTGAAGAGCTCGATGGCTCGGGTGGTTAGCCCGTTCGGCTACGATCGTTGAAGTTACGCAACTTTCTCAGTGGTTGGTCAGTGGATGGGTGACCAAAAATCTTCTATCTCGAGTTCCTCCGTGCTTCGGAAGACACGTTTTGCCGTTGGTCCCGGCTGCATCTGCAGTCGTTAGCACCCGCCAATCCACACTGGGCCCGCGTGGTGGGTCATGGCCCAACCTCTCTATTCCATCCACAAGGCCTCTGCCCCAGCTTTGGGGACATTAATAGGCTGATGATGATGATGATGTGTCTATCTTAACTACGCAGCAAAACGACTGTATGATTTTTTAAATTATTATAATATTTTATTTATTTTCATTCCTGTAGTTTTCATAATCTTAATATATATAAATCTCGTGTCACAATGTTTGTCCTCAATGGACTCCTAAACCACTGAACCGATTATAATAAAATTCGCACACCATGTGCAGTTCGATCCAACTTGAGAGATAGGATAGTTTAAATCTCAAATTATAGTCGCAATTTTAATTTATTGCAAATTATTACTTTTGGGCGGTACGAAGTTCGCCGAGTCAGCTAGTAGATTATAAATATTTAGTTGAAAAGTTTATATTTATAATTTCTCACTTATTATGTGTTACGGTTCACAATCATTCGACAGTTGATATACTAGCGAGATCGATACTAATATTATAAATGCGAAAGTGTGTCTTTCTGTGTGTCTGATTGATACTAATATTATATATGCGAAAGTGTGTCTTTCTGTCTGTCTGATCGATACTAATATTGTATATGCGAAAGTGTGTCTTTCT